TGTGGAGCTTTGAAAGGGACCCCCTGAAAACATCTGGTTTAGTGTGGTGCTTCCAAAGAAGGCGGCCTTATAGAACGATATAGGATGTATGGGCATTGCTCTGGGCTTAAAGTACCCCAGGGCAAAAAGAAGGATTCATAAACCTCCTGTAAGATTGCTTAGAATTGATTATTGTGTGAAAATGCATCTAGGAATTATGCAGAACCCAGAAAATCAAGACAACAGTATTTCTTTTTCAATTACAAGATGATTTAATTATAAATATGAAATAAGTCAATCTGAAACCCATTTTTAAAAGTAACAGCATTTTATGTTTAAAATACATAATTTGTGCACCCAAGTATCAGGTTCTAATAAAAATGTATTTCCTTAAAAAAGAGGAGTCTGTACTTCGAATCCATGCATATGATATGAAGAATGTTTAAGGCTCCTTAAAAACTTATGTTTACACAGAAACCAAAAAAGATAGCCAAGGTCTCTTAAATTTCCTCCACTCAGCCCCACCCTTTTATTGCTGATGATGTCATCGGTTGTTTTTTTAAGGGGCCCACAAACAGAAGGAAAGGCTCTCTCTTCACATTGGAGTCCAGGGGGCTTAGCCCAGTTGCTTTGGAGCCTGTGCTGGAGAGAAGGCGAAATAGGCTCATTAGATAGCTGTGCGTGCTGCCCCCCGCGCCACCCCAGCCCGCCCAAGCCCGCGCGTGCCCTTTACTGCATCACGCTGCTGAGCAGCCAGCCAGGGCGCAGGGCCTGAGCTGCAGGGTCACTGACGTCCTCTCTTCACTGGCAGGGCAGAGTATCTAAAACTGAGGATGACAGGGATGGTCGGCATCGGTGAATTTCCTAGATAACAGAAACTTATTCCTTCTAATGTCAAAAGATTTAAACAATGTTCATCATTTCTGTGTAGAGATTTCAGTGAGTAGTCGCCTTGCTTTCTTAACGTAAAGGAGGGTACCTAATGTCACTCTTTTACTCTCTGCTACTGATCTTAAAAGAATCTTAAAAAAAAATAGCATCTTCAAGCTTGGCCCATACATTTAGCATTGTTTCAGGTTTGGGGCTCCGTTAAAATGCTGACAAACAAAAGTACATGCTGCAGAGGACGGCGAGGACAGTAACGATGGGAGCGGAAAGCCCAGCGCCCGTCGCGAAGCTCGGCAGCCTCACCCCGCTTTCCTTGCTCCGCTGCTTCTCCTGGTCGGGGCTGACCGACCGCAGCCACGGCCCGTTTGCGTACAGAGAGCACCCCCGGGCCCAGCTGCGCTCTCCCATCCACGCGTGGTCTCCTGCTGCTTCTGCACTAAAACTGCAGCATCGGGCAGTTACCCGAGAGGCCACGCGCATGGCCCGCTGAGCCTAGAATATTTACGCTCTGGCTCTTTACAAAAAAAGTTTGCCAACCTTTGCTACTGAAAACGACTTCTTTTCTCATACCCCCAGCACCTTGTCACAGTCCTTACTCTCAGTTAATAACCCGACTTCTTATTTTTCTGGGAAATAGAAGCCTTCAGGAAAGAATGTCCACATGTCCCACACGAGATACGCCAGCCTCCCTGCGTATCTACCCTGGACTTCAGCTTCCCTCCTCTTGCAGTGAGTGACATAGCCGCAGTCCTGGCTCTGTCTGAGAGTAGATCTCTGCCGCCTTTCTACTCAAGGACCTTCCTCCTGAAAGTGCCTTCTCTCCCTCCTCAGTCATCAGATTTCCCTCCATACTGGGTGATTTCTAATGAAGATAAATACGCTGGACTCCCCCTCACCTTATACCGGCAAGAAGCAAAACTCCCTCCGACATCACTCTTTAGCTAGTGCCCCATTTCTTGTAACAAAACTCTTTAGAAGAGTTGTCGCTCACTCTCCGTTGAACCCAAGCTAAGGATTTCCCCCACCACTTTTCTCTCAAAAAACCCCAAAAGCTATTTTTAAAGTCATGAGTTACTTTCGTCAAATTCGGTGCCAGTTATTTTGCACCCCTCCCCTTTGATATTTCAGCAGCATTTGATACCATTTACCCCTCCCTCGCCCTCGAAGTACCTTCTGCACCTCTCACCAGGTTGTCCTCCTGGAGCCACTCTTTCTTGGTCTCCTTTTCTGGCTACTCCTCACCTTCCCGATGTCTAAACCTGAGACCCAGCTCCTGGATTTCTCTTCTCTGTTTATATCACTCCATTGGCGACCTCACTCATTCCTCTGGTTTTCAACACCATCGACACTATGATGACTCCCAAATCCCTAGCTCCAGCCTGGACTTCTCCCCTGGCCCTCTAGACTGCCGTTACCTGGCAGCTCCACTTGGGCGTCTAATAGGCACATTTCTTCCCAGACCTTTTTTCCCCAGGCTTCCCACCTGTAGTAAATGATAATCCTACCTTTCCAGTTGCTCAGGCCAGATATCTTGGAGACAAAATCTGTTACCCCAACCTTTGAAAAACACCCAGATTCTAACCACTTTCCTGCCATCTCCACCACTACCACAAGTTCCAAGCCATTTCTTGTCCGAAGACCAGTCTCCTAATTGATCTTCTAGCTTCAACTACTGGTCCCCACCCAACAGTGTTTTCTCAACACAGAAGACAGAATGCTCCTGTTAAAATCTAAGTTGGACTATGCCAGCCCTGTGTTCAAACCTTCTATAAAAGATTTCCACCTCATTCAGAAAAAGAATCGGAACTACGTGATCTGCTCGAACCACACCTCTCTGACCAATCCCACCGATCCCGCTCCCTTACCAATTTCTGCCTCAGCCATGCCGTTCTCTCTGCTCGTCCTTGAATCTATCAAATACAGCCCAGCAAGCCTCAGGGCCCTTGCACTTCTGTTACTCTGCCTGGAACACACTTCCTCACTTTTTTTTAGGTCTCCATTCACGTGTTATCTTTCTACAGAATCCTTCCCTGACATTTCTGTCTGAATCCTCCACTCATCCCGTTGCCCCCTTGCCTTGCTTTATTTTCCTTCCTGTCATATCCTGATATTTCATATCTGTATGCGATATAGTCCACATCCCTTATTGAATATAAGCTCAATGACACGTGGGACTTTGTTTTTTGTAGTTGTTGTTTACCACTATATCCTTAGAACCTACGGTAGACCTTGGCACATGATTGTCGCGCAAATAAAATCTATTGAGTGAGTGAATGAAAGAATGAATCGTTGAATAAAATAGGGATGTATATGGGGAATGCCATAAGGGGGCTATCATAAATATTGGTATTTAGATACTTGAAAGGTTGTCATATTGAATAAGAAATAGAGTTTCAGTTGCTTTAAAAGGCAAAACTAGTACTCGTGGATTGAAGTTCAGTGGTTCCAGAGTTTTGTCTAGTGTGGAAGGGACTTTCCAACAATTCTGACTCTCACAAGAACACAGGCTGTCTTAAGATAAACTGAGATGCCTGTCCAAGGGAACCTTGGAAAGGAACTGGAATATCTCCTGTGAGGATGTTGTAAAAATAAATCTGTGACTTGGGTGGAGGAAATCCACTTGCTGTAGTCCGGGAGTTGGCCACTTCATGGACTTTTTTTGTTTCCTTCCTGGTTGTTGGAGAATCTGGTAGATAAGTAGATGCCCTTGCCCCCAGAAATGAAGATTTAGTCATTGCTTTGCATATCAGGTCTCATTTTCTGATGCCCACTCAGCAAAATGGGTAACTTTATCACTAAGTGTTAAGACCATGGAGCTGTGATCAGCTCTGGCCCCTTTTCCGTATTTGGTTATGTCGCTGAGTTCATTTAAATCTTGTGTTGAGTAAAACAAAAATTCTATAGTTTTGACTGCTCTTGCTAAGAGTAACTTTAGATTTATTTATTAGATCATGTCCTGATATGTCAGTATGAGCCATTTTTTAAAGAATTTGAGCAGAAAAGTTCATAACTTGTGTTATAATGAACATATTTTTTTGTCTAATCAAAGTCCTAGATTCTTCTCCATATTATTATTACTTAGGTACTTTGGCTTAATCAAAAATATAATGCTCCCAACAATAAAGATAAATTTAAAAATAAATAAATAAATTAGAAAAATTTTTTAAAACCTCAAAAAAAAAGAATAAACTCTGTTTCATGTAAAAACAAAACAAAAATATGATGCTTTATGGATCATTTCCAAACCCTGAGGAAATTTTAAGCCTTTCTTTGCAGCTTTTTTGTTGCTGTTAACCCTCACCCAAGGATATTTTTCCATTCATTTTTAGAGAAAGTAGAAGGGAGGGAGGGGAGGAGAGAGAGAGGGGAAACATTGAGATGAGAGGGACACATCCATTGGTTGCCTCCCGCACGTGCCCCAACCTGCGCCAAGGATCGAGCCTGTAGCCCAGGTATGTGCCCTTGACCAGGAATTGAACCTGCAACCTTTTGGTGCGCAAGCCGATGCTCTAACCACTGAACCACACCAGCCAGGGCTCCAGCTTATTTTTAATAAACTTTTCCACTATATTTTATGCAACAATGGAGATGTTCTGCTAATAATAACCCATAGTAACTTTCCAGTTGTGAAAAAGAAAACAAAACCTTGTGCTCTTGTTAACTGTGTATTTGTACATGGAATGATCTGGTGGAGCTAAAGCATTAGGAGGTTTGTCCTGTTATTTTTAGAACTCTGTATCACTGCGCCCTTTTTGCCGGAGTGGTTCCTGGCTAACTTTCCCATGAGTTTTTAACCTTCTCGCTAGGCTTTGCTTATGTAACAGGAAACAGGCTGTCAGGAACAAATAGTGGCGTATCAGGAGCACACATTAGTAGCAAATGATTTAGTTTGCTCTGCCCGTCGCTCTCTTAAAGTAGACCATTCAGTGATCTCAACTTTAAGACTTTTGCTGTGGCATTCCTAGGCTAAAATAATACAATTTCAATTGGGGAAAAGCCCAATATTTTACCAAGACCATGATTGAGTCCGAGCGACGGAGAAGATGAGCTTGTTATAAGGTGAACTTTGCAGCGGTGTCATGTCCTGGGACTGTGGGTTTAAGTACATCTTCGCTTTTTCTCCAACTCTGAAGGCAGGAGTGATGTGCAGGCTTCAGGGGAGAGATGACATCGGACGAATCGAGCTGGTCCAGAAGCTGGCGAGAGAAAACTGTCAGTTTTTGCAGACAGACAAAAAGGAACAGGAGAAATCTGAACACGTAAGCCCTTTCCTCTTGATGGTGCAGGTTCGAAGGGGTGGGAAATGTTTCTGTCTGGTTGTATGCTTGAAGGAAATAATTTTTTACTTAAAATTCTTTAAGGTTTGGCTTTTTATATTTTCCCCCCAAGAGCATCCTCCTTAGTAAAAATGACTGCTCAAAGCCAGTGGTTTACAACACTGGATTTATAAGAGGACTCTTAAATTGTGTAGAAATAAAAGGACACATGTAAGCAGCTATGAATGCATGTCTGTTTGTGATCCTGAGTTGATGGCTTTCAGGTTGGACTTTGGGAATTTCATCCCATCAGAAAGTTTGTGGAATATGGATTTTGAAAGAATGTACACTTTTTATGATTGATTAGTACAAGGGTGGTTCTAGTTACCAAACAAATGTATCCCGAGTCCCTAGAAATAGACAAGAACAGATTATAGATGCTCTCACCAGGCGGGAGAGTCAGAAGGGAGTTTTCCCAGCGTCTTGTGAATGTTTGTGTTCCAACAAGAGTTATATTGTCTGGATGTGGTTAAACTGGAGGGAAGGGACGCTGGGCTCGGTCCCCTGAAAGCAGTTATTCAGACTGAGCCTTAGAACCAATGCCTCTGCTGTGATGCTGGGAGGACAATGGAGCCACTTTCTTCTGCTGCGCATTGTTGCCTGTTGACTTTTGTTGTTGTTTGTAAGACTTCACTCTCAGTGCTGAACTAGCCAGCGTTGCTCGCGAAGGGGAAAATTCCTCTGTGCTTATAAACATGTCTTTTTCTGACTTTCATTTTTCCTTGGAATTTTATTTTCAACCCTTTCCAAAGGGAAAAAGTGCTTCATGCGTTTTCTGCTCCAAGGCTATCAATACCAATGCCAGGGTTTTTACTGAGCAGGATTTGAGCATGTTCAAGGTTAGCAGGCTGTTTGGTTTAATGACATAACACATCTCCCACAGTGTAACATCAGGTTCTAACAAGTGGTGCTAAAGGGGCAAGATAATTCGGCAATTTCAAAGCCTTGTAACTGAGCTGTTTCAGGGGTGACTGTTGACTTGACAAATGGAGGTCTCAGGAACCTTCACTTTGCTAGGTACTATTGAAAAATTTAGGTTGTTGAAAGCACCCTGAAGGTTGGTTGACGGTATCAAAGACTAACTCCTAACCCCTACCTCATCTGTGGCATATTTGAATATCCCAGCCCATGACTTAAATTTCTCAAAACAATATTCCTTTTGATTTTTTTTATTAGAAGAGTAACATTTTCATATGCCATATTTCATTAATTTTAAGATGCACATCTCCCCCACTTTTCAGCAGCTCTGAAATCAGGATGGGCCTTAATGATTGATGACATGAAAACATGTTATAGTTTAGTTGTGGACCCTTTTCTTTCCAAGTGGTCCTTAAAATGAATGACATATTTTACAGTGCATTGCATATTCGATTCAATGGACCAACAACAACCTGAGCATAGGGCAAGATCTTTTGAAATCAAACAAGCAGTAGAGTACCACTTCACCAAGCCTTAGGCCCCAAACAACTTTATGCTTATTTAAAAAGTACTTGTGTTGCCTTTGACCTATATTTAGTTCAATCCAGAATACTATAGTTATAGCTAATGAGAACATAATACCATCCAAATATGTAAAAATGGAAATCTGAAGTTGGTGCCAATGACTGTAAATACTTTTAACGTGAGACAGAAATTTAGTCGTAGGAGGTTAGCAACTTTGCTTATGTTATCTACTCTGTCATCTTCAAACCTTCATGTTAAGATTGTAAAATGGAGCTCTGAGGTTTTTTCACTTCTTGCGTAATGTCATAACATGGATGCGCTAACAGCTCTGAGGTGTTGGTGTTTCTGGGAGGAAAGATGGACTATCAATAAACATTGGAACTATGGCTTTTTCTGTGTAGATTTTTCCTACTGTAGCTGAAAGTAAGGAATGGTTAGGAGCTTTCTTCCTTGGTGATAAATATAACGGAGACATTCTGTGGTCTCCTTCTTACAGGATGACACCAGTTGAACTAATCTTGTTTTTTCTGTATTTTAATTTTTCAATTCCAGTTGACATTCAGTACTATTTTATATTAGTTTCGGGTGTATAACATAGTGGTTAGACATTTCTATGATTGATGAAATGCCCCCTCGTAAGTCTAATACCCATCTGACAACATACATAGTTATTACGATATTATTGACTACATTTCCTATGCTGTACTTTATATCCCCATGACTGTTTTCTAAATTTCAATTTGTACTTCTTAATCCCGTCACCTTTTTCACCCAGTCCCCCAACCTCCCTCCCCTCTGGCAACCATCAGTCTGTTCTTTGTATCTATGAGTCTGTTTCTGTTTTGTTTGTTTGTTTATATTGTCCATTTAGGTTCCACATATAAGTAAAATCATATGGTATTTGTCTTTCTCTGTCTGACTTGTTTCACTTAGCATGCTACCCTCTAGGTCCATCCCTGCTGCTGCAAATGGTAAGACCTGATTCTTTTTTATGGCCGGTTAATATTCCATTGTATAAAGGCACCACTTCTTTATCTATCACCTATTGATGGGCACCTAGGTTGCTTCCATCTTCCATCTTCAAGGCTGATGCTCCACTAAATGGATTATTTGATACTAGATGCGTATACTTTTTATAATAGCTTATCGGTAATAAAAACCATTTGGTAGGCTATATTATTCCTTTATGTGTTAAGCATTCAATATATTGATACCTGTCCTTGCACGGTGAGGTCACAGTGTCCCTAAGGTGGGTGCAGCATTTTCATTTTCCCTGCCCTTCCTTTCTTTTCAATAGCCATCGTCTGCTCTTACTCATAAAAACTCAATTACAACACACAGCATGTACAGAGGAAACTACAGTTTACTTAGTGTAAACCTAGGCCTGCAGTTTCCTCTACTTGTTATAACAATAGCAAACCCTGGAGTGACATACAGGTTTCCTTTTTCATGTTTTAAAAATGCTTCATCTACCTCATCTACCATTCCTGGGCCAAAGCTGGTTAAGGAGGCAGTGGTAAAATTCAAGTTAGAATTCGAGTTGCCTATCGAGTCATTCTTTTTACTAAACTGCATTACTTCCCCAGTTCTAGAATGCCACATCCCCTTTTATACATACGTGCCAAAATGAGAGAGCTACTGCACAGAGGAAGACATGAATTTGATAGAATAAAGCTTTTGTTGCTAGTATGTCTTATTACAAATTGAAGGGTCTCAGAGCTTTCTGAGTAGGCATTTCTAATATTTGCCTAAACTGGTTAATGCCATGATTATAAATGCATGCAATTAGAGACACACTTCACTCTGTGCTTCTGCCAAGATGTTTCTGAAATGAAAAAAAAGTTAAATGTATAATTCTCACAAGTTTCTCAGGAAGCACTTGGTTTTCCTAATTTCTATGAGCTAGCTGTAGGCAAAATTACCCAGCAATTCTTCCTAAGTGTTGAAAATTATGTGAGAACTTTAAGAAGGGGACAGAAATTGGCTATTTCTTCTAAATATTATGCTAGTGAGATTAACATTTGGTCATTAATCCTTTAAAGAAATTACCTTTTATATAGGCATCCTATTTCCTAGTCTTAATTCTATGATTATATTGATAGAAGGAGGGGCACATGTTGCCAAGTGGGGACTTTTGAGCTTGACCTTGAAGGATGACTGATGGTCATAGAAGGGCAGGGTGGGGAAGAGTTTTAGGCTGAGGGACTGGCAGGAAGACATATGACTTGAGCCCTGGGTGATTCATGGGGAAAGAAGGCAATGGGCTGTAGGGGAGGTTAGAATTCATTTGTGAAAGACCCAGTAAGCCAACCTAAGGAGTTGAGACTTGCTTTTCTGGCAAAGGAAAGCCATCCAAGATGGGAAGCGGCATAATCTGATGTGGTCTTCATAAGATCTCTCCCGCATTTCTTTAGAGGAATAATTTAGAGGAAAGTGTTGGTGGGAACCCTTAGGGAGCTATTGTAGTGAGTCAGTTGAAAGATGTAAGCCTAAACCAAGGAGGTAACTATGGGAAATAAGAAGGCTGTAGACTTTGAGAGTCATTTAGGTGGTGAAATGTGTGTGTGTGTGTGTGTGTGTGTGTGTTATTTCATATTAAGCAATTCTTGAATTTTTATTAAGGATTTTTGGTATTGTGCTAAACATAAGAATATTCTGTTTATCACCAGAATGGTTGGTCACCTTTGCCAAAAAGATGCATAAGACATTTACCTTGCTTTGTTTTCCTGCAGGGTGTCTCATAAGGCACACAGTGTTTATCTCATTAACAAACTATTAGATGAGGCCTCTGGGTAACAGTATGGGGACTACATAAACCTTCTTCTTAGACCAGACACCTTGACAATACCTTAACCAGCGAGAATCTCTGGAAGCCCCAGAATAAACTAGATTATTTGGCCAAAGCTTTGGCATTTGCTGCAATGATGTGTATGTCTTCTTCAGAATTAACTGTGATTTAGGGACACTCCCCTGACCCATACAGTCTGAGTTGGTGTTGCTGTGCTGTTGTTCTAGAGCACTCTTGCTTACTTCTTCATTCAATATACCTCTATTAAAGCTGATGTTGTGGTAGCTTCAACCTGGAGGTCGGATAGTCAGGCTCCCACCCTGAAGGAGTATAGTCAAGTTGTGGAGAAAAGACATTGACATAGATAACAGGTACAGGGAAGCAGTGATGACAATCCCAAGAGAAGACATAGGCGTTAGAAGAAGAATTTACACCTGGAGGGACAGGATTCTCTTGTGGCTAATGTTGAGTTTCATGAGGACCTTAAAGTAGGTTTTAGGTTGGATTTAAATAATTCAAGTAGAAGAAAAGCAACTCCCAGTGGAAGGAGTAGCGAAAATGCACAGAAATGTCAAAATGGAAGGTTTTTTTTTTTGGAAATCCAAAACCATTCATTGTCCCCAGAGGACCACAGGTGGGGGTGAGGGAGGAGATTCTATGTCCCCAGAGGACCACGGGGGGGGGGTGAGGAAGGAGAAGGAAGACAGTGAGA